CTTAAAGGATCATGGGACTTAGTAAGTAGGGCTATAACTAAGGTAACTATACTTATATTTACTTATAACCCCAACTAAGGGACTTATAACCTTACTTACTCAGTCCCATGATCCTCCAAGTAGGGTACCCTGTGTACCGAGTCGAACAGCTGCGAGCCGACAAGTAAATGCGGATCCGAGAAGGGTGTAGGGTTTAGGGTTTAAGGTTTAGGGTTTAGGGTTTAGGGTTTAAGGTTTAGGGTTTAGGGTTTAGGATCCGAGAAGGGACGTCATGGTCTCTTTCCGGGTCTCTTTGGGGTGCTTTCCTGAACATCAGGGCGCAATGGGACATGATTGTGAGACAGACCCCGTGGCTGGCACCGCTGACAAAAGGAGCTCCGGTCTATATAACCTTCCGGAACATAGAATACCTGAGGGCTTGAGCTTGATCTGCAAGCCCGAAGCGAACACCCAAATGGGAACTGCAAGATCATAACCCCGCTGAGCAGTTCTCGGAGGACACCCCCCCAACGAACACCAAGCCCACAACAGGCGACCAAAAGCCTAGCAAAACCGCTAAACCAGGAGCTCTACACACTCAGCCCTAATCCCTGAATCCCTGAATCCTAAACTCCACTCTCTAAACCTTAAGCCCTGAACCAAACCCCACTCTCTAAACCTTAAGCCCTGAACTAAAGCTACACAGAAAAAGGCCTGTGCCCACGAACTCAGGACCCTGCACTTCTCCGAAACGGTGGTCAGCATCGTGCGCCTGCTACTGGTTCATAAAAACGCTGCTGCCCTAAACCCTAAACCCTGTGCCGGTAAGCCCTTGCCAGTAGCAGTACACTTAGCAGCAGCATCAAGCAGGAGTAGGAGCATGGTGTAGGAGTAGGAGTCGTAGTAGTAGTAGTAGTAGTAGTAGTAGTAGTAGTAGTGGTAGTAGGAGTAGTAGTAGTAGTAGTAGTAGTAGGAGGAGGAGGAGGAGTCGTAGTAGTAGTAGTAGTAGTAGTAGTAGTAGCAGTAGCAGTAGTAGTAGTAGTAGTAGTAGTAGTAGTAGTAGTGATAGTAATAGTGATAGTGATAGTGATAGTGATAGCGATAGTGATAGTGATAGTGATAGTGATAGTGATAGTGATAGTGATAGTGATAGTGATAGTGATAGTGATAGTGGTAGTGGTAGTGGTAGTGGTAGTGGTAGTGGTAGTGGTAGTGGTGGTGGTAGTAGTAGTAGTAGTGGTAGTCGTAGTCAGTAGTCGTCGTCGTCCTCCTCATCGTCGCAGCCACCGCCGTCGTCGTCGTCGTCGTTGTAGTGTCGTAGTAGTCGTCGTCGTCGTAGTAGTAGTAGTAGTCGTCGTCGTCGTCGGTGGAGGTGGAGGTGCAGGTGGAGGTGGAGGAGGTTGAGGGCTGAAACTCAGGGTTTAGGGTTTAGGGTTCAATTACGAGTAGTTTCCCTCATCCTGGGCCAGTCGAGTGCGCAAAAAATGGAACTTTCTGCCCATTACACGCCCCTGAGGCCTCGGAATCCAAAGTTAGTGCTTGGAGAACCAGAGAAGCCCCAAAACCGAAATCCTAACCCCCCTATACCCTAAACACTAAAAACCCCTAACTAGCCCTAAACCCTAAACCCTAAAAATCCCTAACTAAGTAGTAACTAGCCCTAAACCCTAAAAACCTCGAACTAGCCCTAAACCCTGAACCCTAAACTCCGATCCCGGTCCGGGCCCTCACGGAGCAACGGCGGTTGAAGCTGACAACGTACAGCCTCGGAAAGTCGCTTCCCCACGCATGCGCGGTCCCTACAGTAGGGTTTACGGTCTAGGGTTTAGGATTCTGGGAGCAGAAGCTACAAAGTTGGAACATGGTTATCCTCATGCCCTTGATGTAAAGTATAGAGGGTCCCAGCACTCATCATCCCGAATAATTTCCAACTTTCTGGGGTTCACTATGACGCATCTCCCTTTCCGTTCCTTTATCATGCTGCCGTCTAACCCATAGCTTCTCTCCGTGCTCCCCTTGCTTCAACTAGAACCTACTTTGCCAACATGCTGTTCCTTGGACAACTCACATCTGCCACACCGGGACATATGAGGATCCGACGATGCTGATGTGGAAGTCGATGACACTCATGAAAAATATGCTGATAATAATGATCATCATCATCATCACAATCGTCACCAGCACCATCACTGCCACCATCGGAATCACCATCACCATCAGCATCTGCATCATTTTCATCTTCAGCAGCATGATCGCGAATGCCATCAACACCGTCCTTCTCACGACCATCAGTGCCATCATCGCAAGGAGAGCAACAAGTGCTGAACACAAGCACAAGCACAGAACACAACCCAGACACAGCACACACGCGTGCACAAACACACACACACACATGTGCATCCTTGACACCTCCGTAGTAACATCTGCATAAGTACATGTGCATCTACGAACACCGATGAAATTGGGTAGATGAGTAGATGTAGCCATGATATACCTGCCTTATGCTGCCTTCACAGCCCACTCAGGCTAGAACCAATAAGGCTCGGAGAAGAGGGCTCCAGTGGTGCCGCCCCTCCTGCAAGATTCACATTCGGCTTTTGCACATAGTCAGGCGGTTATTTTGACTTTGTTCTTGGTTTCCTTTTTCCGCATGATCTAGGGCTTCGGTCGTTACGGCTTGTCTTTGGGACTATGGAAGGCTGCAAAGTCTCCGTGCAGCTAGTGGCATCTGTGGAGGTTACCTCCTGTATGAGCCAACTCACAAACTCATTAACCTATGCCTTGTCGTGGAACGTTGATGAACAAACCTCCGTTTCTTTAAGAGCAAGTCTCGTGGGAGTTTGTGTATGAGCGCTGCCCATTGATTGATCTCTGCTCGCTTAGGACTTTCCCGTCGCTGTGCCCCAAAACTGGGCCGTTAAGAATGAGAACACGGCTTTTGGGGTGTGCACTATAGTATAAGTGCAGTATATGCTTTTTGACTAGTTACCCCATAGTATTTCCGCAAAGCTACACTTGCCAATCTTCAAAAGCAGACTGATAATAGACCACTTACCAAATCCCCCAAAAGAGCGATATAAACCCTACTATGCCAAAGGGACTATAGGTGGACAGCACTTCTTCAATATTCAGACCTCTACTAGGGGGTTGGGATGCTTGCCACTATTTTTCCTTGGGGTTCCTTAACATGATCATAGTATAATAACCACGAATTATCACTTTAATGATTAAGGCCCTTAGATTCTTGAATAGTGCACCGCTCCTGGCAGTGACGTTCCAGAGGCACAGCTGCCGAACATCTTCGTTCACGACGTCTTCTGGCGGAGGGGCTGAAAGCCGAAGCGGGGCTAGGCGCCATCGATTTAGGGTGATGGGGTTCTTGTTTGTGTGGGGTTTAGGGCCTCCAAAGGGATCTATAAGGATTCTAAGGGGATTTACAAGGGGGGTTCAGGGTTCATGGATTTGGGGGTATGGGGTTTGGGGTTCAGGGTTTAGGGTCTAGGGTTCATGGAGTCAGAGTTTAGGGTAAGACAGGGTGTTGCATAGAATGTGGTTTTGGCGCATATTAAACGCGGCCTCCTAAACCCCAGTGTTCTGAAACCCTTAGAAAAGCCTCATAAACACCCTCATCAACCCTCTATATCCGCCTGATGAAGCACTCAAACCATCCAACACCCTGAACCGCAAGTCCTAAACTCCAAGCCCCAATATACGCGCCTTAATAATTGGAAAAGGGTTTCGGGCCCGTTATACTATAATTATACTAAGAAACCCAACATAATATAGGTAATGACTCAGGGCTTCTATATTAAAACCCCCAGGCCCTACAACCCCAAGTCCTAAAACCCTAAACCCTAAACCGTAAGCCCTAAACCCTAAACCCCCCAAGCCCTACAAAGCCGACGCCTCCGGTGACGGGGCCGCCCCCGTCTGGATCCGGAGCACAGAAGCTCTCAGCGTCGGCTGAGACGCAGAGCTGCGAGTTGCTATCGCCCAGCATGCCTGGAGGGTTTAGGGGTTTTAGGGTTTAGGGTTTAGGGTTTAGGGTTTAGGGGCTTTAGGGCTTAGGATTTAGGGTTTAGGGTTCAGGGGTTTAGGGGTTTTAGGGTTTCGGGGTTTTGTAGATTTAGTTTAGTGTAGGGGCCGTGGTAGTTTGAATATGGTTCCTTTAAAGGGATCCTTGAAGGGTTCTGTAAGGGATCTATGATAGAGTTCTACATTGGGGGGGCTTAATGATTAGAAAGGGTTTTGGGGTATATAACTTTAAAGGGTTCCTTGACAGGTTCTATAAGGGCTACTATTTTGGTTTAGGGTTTAGGGGCCTTAACAATTAGAATAAGGCTTTGGGACCATTATACTATACTTATAATAAGGAACCCCGCAGGAACCCCCAAAAATAGGATTGGTAATTATGTAGGCCCCTATATTAGGGTTTAGGGCTTAGGGAGTAGGGTCTCCTGCAGGCTCCAGGGTTTAGGGTTAGGGTCTAGGGGTTTTAGGGATGTTTACAGCTTGAGGACTAAGGTTTAGGTTTGGGCTTCGGGCTTGTAGGGTTTGGGATTTGTAAGGCTACTACTGTAAGGGTTAGCTTTAAAGCTTATCATAAGGATGTCTATAGGGGTTGCCATCATGTTTTATAACGGTTGCTACAAACACTTCCATGAGCACTATAGGATTACTATAGGAATTGCAGCAATACAACATGCTTCTTGTTCACGGGTTGGCACGCCTTCAATACACGCGCTTTAGAAGATGCCCCCCCAAGGCAGCATCACAACAACAGCGACCCTGTACCGAAGCTTTTGGGTTCTTGGGCCCTGAGGCCTAAGCCGGGTGACTCCTAGAATGCACTGTACGTGTAGGGGCCGGACTAAGCGGTATGTAGTACTATGACTTTACAGTCCCTGCATAACTAAAGTATCATAATGTACACCGAAAACCTGTTGTAATCGTTTGGGCCACAAATTCACACCCTATAATAATTCAAAGCATCCCGTAAAACATCATGAAGCCCTATTTCAGTTCTAACTAAAAACGCCCCTACATTAAGCTGGTCTTCACAACGAGACGAGCCTTCATCGGGCTTGAAGATGTCATAGCGTGGTGCAAACTGCAGATGCTCCCTGGCTGAGCGCAGCTAGGACCCATGGTTCAAGGCTTTCGGATGCTTCAGGCTTGAGGGCAGTAATGTTCTGGGCGTTTGGGGTTTGGGGACCGTTGGTGATTAGCTGGTGCAGGGTGTCAGGTTGTAATGCTCCCCAATGTCCGGAAGAAGCTGCATCATTGCGTGTGCTTTCCATGCCGAGCAGAAGCTGACCACGATCAACTGTAGATTTATGCATGTCCTATGCACAGTCTGCACAGCAGCAGGATTTCTACGGAGCCTTTGTCCCTACCCCGGTCAACCTTGCAAGGCCGACGACAAGGCAACAGCCTTGGGACGCAGAGCTGCAGATTTTCGGGTGTAGGGTGGGCGGTCTCGTTGCCAACAGTTTTGGATCTAGAGTCCAGGGTGTGGTATAACGAACCGAGAGAAAAAGAGAGAGGGGCAGAGAGAGAGAGAAAGAGCAAGAACGCAAGTGATCTCAAGTGATATAGCACTGTGCAAAGCAGCAAGGAGGCGAGTGATAAAGTGGCATCAGAACGCGGTTGTGTAACGGTATAAGGCATGCAGCACACCACGACCCAAATCCATGAATCCCAAATGCTGTGCCAGCCAGACTTGCATGGGTAAGGGGTGGACTACATTGCTATATGCATAAGTGTTTACATGTCCACAAGAAGGTTTTTCAATGGAGGAAAATTCATAGCATAGTTATATACAAATATATATATATATACATATATACATAAGCTTACATAAGCAGAGAGAGGTAGGTATATATGTAATATACACATACATACACATACACACACATACATACACATACATACGTATACATACGTATACATACGTATACATACGTATACATACGTATACATACGTATACATACGTATACATATATACATGCACATAAAGGTATACAGATACACCTGTATACACTCTGTGCAAGAAAGGGCTTGCAGCTGAGCTATACAGCAGACATCGTTTGCTGTGTGCGGGTGGGGCATCGTGCTTTTTTCTGTCACCCAGAGGGTTGGGCATTAATTGGGGGGTTTCCGAAAATAGGGACCCTAATATAGTACCCTAAAATAGTAGGATCCCTATTATAAGGACCCCAAAATAAGGTAACCTAATTTTCTGAAACTCCCAATTAGGGTTTTGGGGTTCTCGGTGGAGGGCCTCGGGATGAGGCTCGCTTGTCAGTGGGCCTTTCTTTGACAGATCTGTGTAATTTCTTCAGGAGGAGCGAATGTTGTTTGCAAGGCATTCCAGCAAAGGCAACTGACATCAGGTCGTCCTGATGTTTGTCTCTGGCTCTCTATCGCTCGCTTTTTCTCTCTTTCGTTCGCTCTCTGGCTGTCTCGCTCGCTCGCGACTAGAATTCTAAATTCTAAGCCTAAACCTCCTGTTAAGACAGTAGCCATCCCCTATGCCTGAACTCAAACCGTCACTAGAGGGCGGGCTAGAAGAGGTCCTTTGTGCACACGACACCTCTGTCTCCTGGCCTAAACGACCCCCACCCTAAGTGATATGAAGTGTAGAGGCCACTCGCAAATCCGAAGACCAGAATGCTGCTTTCGGTGCGGACAAGACGGGCTGCGGAGGCCTTGATGCGTCATGAATTGCCTTGGCTTTTGCATGCATTTACCTGCTCATGAAGCGCATGTTCTGTGTTGAAGGGTTTCAGGGTTCGGGCAGAGGGTTTGGGGTAGTTCCCACCAGGTTAAGTCCAAGTTATGTTTGAGGTTCGTGCAATCTCGCTTTTTTCGGCACACACTGGTCTGAGTCTTGACCGTCTTGACCTATCCGCTGCCAGCGAGCAAGTTTCGGAAGGCTTCAGTGTTTAAATTGTCCACGTTCAACGCGTGCAATGTAGTTGCTTGCCTTTCTTGTGATTGTAGGGTCCTAGCCGCCTAGCCATAGAATGGGTGAACCAACAAAAGGAATCATGTTGGAGAACATAGGTACAGGCTTGATCTCCAAAGCGCTAGGCACGAGACTCCAAGTCAGTGAGCTGCACACACCCTAGATTTCCTCGGTCTCTTGCAACCCCACAGGCCTCGGGCGGGCGGGCAGGCGGGGGGTGGGTGGGTGGGTGGATTGTGCGGGTGGATGAATAGGGTGTAGATAGGTAGGCAGGCAGTTAACCCTAAACCCTAAACCCTAAACCCTTGCATGATCACGAGCCGCAAAGCTGCAAGGCTGGCCTTACAACAATGGCGCGTCTCGGATGGAAAGGTAGGGACGAGGAGGCCCATGACTCGCCAAAGGAAAGTTTATCATATATAAAACATATGGCTGGTTGTCAAAATTAGGGTCCTTCTTAGGGTCCTCTTTATAAGGTTGCCGTACTATATGATGGACCCCAAAAGGGACCATAATTTTGACAACCACCCATATGGTAATCCCCCCTTCAGACCTCCAAAGACTGTTTACATCAAATTGCCCTGAACTACACACGATCGTGGAAATTTTATACATACGTTTACATATGCTTGTACATCTTCGTGCGCTTGGCTGTATTTACTTTACGGGTGAGCATGTCTTGTGTTTATTCACAAATACCAGCATTGAAGCCGGCATTGCGCAATTGACCTTCAATGGATCCAAGAACCAAGAACCGAAACCCTAAACCCTAAACCCATGGTGCCCAGCACGATCTTGGTTCTTGTCGCTTAACAGGCCCCAGAGCAAAGGTTGTATGTCAGGTTTGCGCGCAAGGTCGGTTCAGGGAGGTCAGGTTTGCTAGGGTAGTTTGCAGAGCTCTCAACGGGTTTGCAGGGTAGGTCATGGGGGGGGGGGGGTGTAGCATATATACATAGATATATATATATATATATATAGTTATGTATATATACTACAGAAGCCTGAATGGCTAGTAGCTGTTCCCAACAGTGCCACATTTTAACGCTGCTGTAATAAACAACCCCAAACATACAATACTTTCAATCGGAACACTTGCCGCCGTGCTGCTCTGTCGTGTCCCTGCAATTGGAGCCAATCTTTTATCTGAGAAATGCATCACGCTGCTACAAGGAGGTAGTGTTTCTGCTCAAGTCTCGACTTGAACAGCTTTCTGGGACCCTAAACCCTAAACCNNGCCCCCCCCCCCCCCCCCGTGCAGCCGTTCCCTAATCTCACTTGTTCTACAAGCTGCCGACTCTTTGGGCGCATGTGCTTTTCCCAAGAAGCGGATATCATGCTCATATCCACAAACTTTATAAATAAGAACGAAACTTACTGAAAAGGAGCACGGGCAAAAACAAGCAAATAATGCAGTAAGAGTACCCAGCAGATCTTCCCAGTCAGTCTTCGGAACTCCTTTCCGCCCTAAACGCTGAAGTGCGAATCTTCCGTTTTTTACAAGGAGATATCTAGAAGCTGCGGGTGCCTGGATCCAACACCCTTACATGGCCTGTCGTTATTTTTGAGGTCATAGCCTGCCTTCGCTATGTGCCATCCGTATCATGATGTTTCCTGTTGGTGTTCGGATATATACCCTAAACCCTAAACGCTAANNCCTAAACGCTAAACCCTAAACCGTACATGGCACAGGGTGAGCGGAACCACCTGGTCTGGGGTTTTTGATGAGTTTCAATGCCGGCTTTCTCTTGGACTCGGAGTCACCCATGCCGCAATCACGTGGCTTTAGGCAATAGGCCTTTATGGGTTTAGCCTAGAGTCTGAAGTGTTGCAGCGTGTCCGTATGTAGATTTGTGGTTTGCCTTTCAAGCCGGGGTAAGCATCAGGTCCTCAACATGACGATGCTTCGGTATTTGGCCCGCCCCTACGCGCAGGCTGGGTGTAGGGATTCGGGTATAAGCTCTGGTATAGGGGTCAGGGGTGTAGGATCTCGAGTTTCGGGTTGAACAGATTCGAGTCTGCAAGATGCCCTTTTGGCCGCAGAGCTCTGGCACAGGGGGACTGATCTAGGGGCCTTATAAGGAACAGAACAGGGTTTTGGGGCCCAATTATAAAAAAAATACCATAAGGAACCCCCAAAATAGTATAGGGACCCTAAACCCTAAACCCTAAACCCTAAACCCCCAAAACCCTAAACCCCTTATTCAGGCCCGTACATTATGGCTTCAGCATGTTGGGAGCTTCGCCACATTTCGACGCCGTCAAAGCAATCCACGCAGCCTTAAACTCGAAAGCGCGAGGCTTACAGAAAGTGTATTATAATATTCCAAAAGGCTCCATGTACCTTTATAGTAGGTACTTAGGCCTTAAAGGGGTCCCTATATAGGTACTTTAAGGCCTAAGTATCTACTATATGGGTACATGGAGCCTTAGGGAGTATGGTGGTTACTCGAAGCACGACTATACGCCTGTCTTTATAAGCCGCATCTTTTCAAATCAAAATTCGCTTACACAGTCAAGCCCTACTCGCCGGCGTGAGGGTCCGGACCAAAACTTATCAATAAGATGGGGTCCTCTCAATAGCTTGAGGCTCATCTGCGGGTTGTTCTCAGCCTCAACCCTAAAGCCCTAGCACCTAAAAACAACAACACGTCTAATGAGCCTTGCAACCCCCTGAAGCTCAAACCGGGTTCAGGGCTCAGGGTGTGGAAGTCTGCTTGGGGGTTTAAGGTCAAGGGCTTGGGGCTTAGGCTTTAGATATGCGCGCCTGGCTGTTTAGGATAGGGTGTTGGCGTAGATTATCCTACAATGCCAATAAGGAGTCCCAAACTAGTATTGGTGATTGTTTAGGACCCCATACTAGGTTTTAAGGTGTAGGGATCCTAAAGCATATAAACTTTCAACCCAAAGCCCTCAACTTAAAAACACGCAAACCGTTAGGGTTTAGGAAAGCGTGGGAGCCTGGCAAAAGATCGATGCCTAGCAGCTGGGAGGCCACTTCAGACCCAGTTAATCCCGCCCCGCGCGGTTGGACGACGACGACGACGACGACTACTACTACTACCACTACTACTACTACTACTACTACTACTACTACTACTACTACTACTAGCCCCCCCCCCCGCCCCCCTACCAACTACACTTGCTCCATCCGGGGCTGG